AGGGTATGAGCATTCTAGGCAAAGAAACAGCAAACATAAAAGCCCCCAACAGGTACCATGGTTTTCCTGGTGGCTCAGTCAGTCAAGAATCCACAAGCAATGCAGGAGACCTGGGTTCAGTCCCTGGGTTGGGAAGATCTGGAGAAGGGAATGGCAACCCACTCTAGTATTCTTGCCTGGAGAATCCCATGGACAGAGGAGTCTGGTGGGTTACAATTCATGGGGTCTCAAAGAGTTGGACAGGATTGAGCAACTAACACACACAGACACACACAGACAAACACCAACAGGAACCATGTCTGGAATGTCCCAGGAACAGAGGGGAAGCCAGCACAGTTGTAGCTGAAGGAGGAAGAAGGGCAAGGAGAGAGGAGGGCAGGTTCAGGGCAGGACCTCATGCAGCCCCAGGTCGAGGTAAGCACTCTGACTTTTATTTCGATTGAGGCCAGAAGCCAACAGAAGATGATGTGACCTATCTTAGGAGGGGTTTATTTTCTGTTTCACTTAAACCTATTTCATAAGTTCCCAAAAATCTGGGCTTTCCTTGTGGCTGAGCTAGTAAAGAATCTGCCTTTAATGCAGGAGACCTGGGTTTGATCCCTGGGTTGAGAAGATCCCCTGGAGACGGGAAAGGTTACCCATTCCAGCATTCTGTCCTGGAGAAATCCATGAACTGTATAGCCCATGGGGTTGCAAAGAGTCGGACATGACTGAGTGACTTTCACTTCACTTCCTGAAAATTTGTTTATCCAATCTGCCAAGAGTATGGCTAATAATATCTACCTGTTTGTGATTATGAATAATGATGATTACAGGAGAAACACAATGGTGACTTAACAGCATAGAGGTGCACCTGCCAAGAATGAACCATTCAGAGTTGCCCAAGTCTGTTGGTTACTGTTGTGACAATAACTATCCCCCTTGCTGAAAAGAATAATGCTTTGCAGTGCTGTACTCAGGCTTCAGTGGAAGCCAGTCTGGCTCTGCATGGACAACAGACTGAGGTAAAGCCAGGGCAGGCATGGAGAGACATGTCTAGAGCCCACTCTAGGAGTCCAGGCAAGATATGCAACTACCTTGAACCAGGGCAGTAGCAGGAGAGGCGGTGAGATGAGAAGAGGTGGTGAGAATTGAGTCTGCTTCTAAATTTTGCTGATGCACCTAGGACAGAGGTCAGCAAGCCTCAGTCCACAGGTCACACTTACTTATTTTTGTAAGTAAAGTTTTACTGAAACGCAGCAATGCTCATCAGTTGATACAAAGTCTATGGCTGTTTTGTGCTGGGGGCAGAGAAGAATGTTTGTGACAGAGACTGCACAGCCTGCAGAGCCAAAAATATTTACTAACTGGGCCTTTAAAGAAAGAATTTGCTGACCCTCAACCTAGAATATGAGGTAAAAAGTAGACAGAATGTTTTAAGCTTGAAGAAGAGTGAAGTGTTAGTCACTCATTCATGTCCAACTCTTTGCAACTCCAAGGACTATATAGCCCACCAGTTTCCTCTATCTATTGAATTCTCCAGACAAGAATACTGGAGTGGGTTGCCATTCCCTTCTCCAGGGGATCTTCCCTAGTCAGGGATTGAACCCAGATCTCCTCCACTGCAGGTTGCTTTTTTACCATTTGAGCCACCAGGGATGACCATTTTAAGCTTAAGCAACTAGAAAAAAAAATGAGTTATCATTTACTGAGATAGGGTTCTAGGAAAAAATAAGATGTAAGGAAATATCACAAACTTGATTTTGAATGTGTTAACTGTGAGACATGTATCAGATGAACTTCAGACTGACGTTCAAAGAACAGGCCTGAGCTGGAGGTACCAACTTCATCAGATTAGAAATACTAATCAAACCCAGGAAACTGGATAAAATTATTAAGAGAATAAGCATAGAGATGGAGAGGAGAAGAGGTTGAATATTGAGCCCTTGAATCCTGACCTTTAGAAGCTTGGGAAATGAAAAAGACTCATACAAAGAACTAAGAAGGAACAGGTGGAGACAGGATGAAAATCAGGAGCGTAATGCTCTGAAACTGAAGAGACAGTGTTTCAAGGAGAAGAAGGCCAAAGCCACGTGGAATGGAGCTGACAGGTCAGACCAGACGGTGACTCAGAGTTGACCACAGGAGGCCGCACCTGATGGGACTCAACTCAGCAAGGTGCAAGGACAGAAAGAGGAGACTAAGGATAGGCAACTCACTCTAGAAGTTCTGTTGTGAAGGGGTGCAGAGAAGTGGGGTGGAAGTCAGCAGGGGATATGAAATCAAGAGAGTTCTTTTTTATTTACTCCCATGATGGGAGAAGGAACAGCATGTATGATGGCTGTTTAAACAAAAATAAAAGGTTTCCACTTGAGATGGAGAACCAGGTGAAACAGGAGAGAAGACAGGAACTGCTGTAGCAGTGGCTCTGGGCAGTGAGAGGAGAGGGGATCCAGGGTACAGACGGCAGCAAGGGCAGGGACAGTTCAACTATGATAAGAACGGGCCGCACATACTGGTTGGCAGTGGAGGCCTGATCAAAGCTGAAGGAGGTAGGTTCCCTTCTGCCTGCATCTGTTCTCTCCACAAAACTGGAAGGTGGGCCACATGGAGAAGAGGTGTTACAGATTAGAGAAGGTATGAAATAGACTGAAACAGACTGAGAGAGCGAACAAGGAAATATAGTACAATTACCCACTAGTATTAAGGGTCCACTTGAGTTTGTGATAATGGCTCTGAAATGAGACTGCTAGTACGGTTTTTCTCTAGTCTTATTTCACAGCAAGAGACCAAGAACAAGAGGGGACTGGGACTTAAGACGAGGATCATACTTTAAGGGAGGAAGAGAGAGTGAAGAGAGAGGCCAGAGAAGGAGTGACAGTAGTGACTGACCATGAAATTTCCACAGGGTGAGGAGGGAAGTAAGGACACGAGGAGGGAGAAACATGAAGAAAGTAAAAAGGTGATGGGTCAATGAACTGTAGCCCCGAGGGAACACTGAGGATTTGGGCACAGAGCGGTGAGCCAAAAATTCGAAGGTGGCGGTCAGAAAGTCACTAAGACTGAAAAATCTGGAGTCTGACCATGGCAGTGAGTGGCTGGAGTCAGAGGGAAGGAAAGGTCGCTGAAGGGGAGGAGCTCAAGAAACAGAGAGGCCAGAGTTCTGGAAGGATCATCCACACGGCTATTGAAATCATCACAAATTAAGACAGAAACAGTGCTGGACAGACAAACAGTGGACATAACGAGTCCTGTGGGTGAGCGGGTTTTGGAATATAAGCCTCAACAAGGGAGGGGAATGGAGAATACTGACAGGTGACACAAGATTCAAACCAATGTGTTTTCAGGGTGGAGGAAGAATGGTCCAGAAGAAGAAATGAGAAAGCAAAGGAGAAACAGGTCAGATCCAGTAAGCGCACTAAGGGGAAGGGACACTGACAGAGCATGATTTTGCTGGTGACTGGGCATGGGGCTTTCAGAATTTGGGGAAGTGGGGAAGGAAAGGTACATGTGACAAATCACATAAGGATTAGAGACTGGGAGATGAGGCATGAGGACAGGGGGAGACGGGGTGGCTGACATGAGTGAGTATAAGGGGCATGCCAAGATTAATCCTGGAGGTCCCAAAGAGACGACCCGCTGCAGCGAGAAGCAGCAGGAGCCTGCTGACAGCAGGCAGGGCTCCAAGTCCCCAGGACACTTTGCTGATGCAGTGAAGTTTTTAAGTCCCTCCCCATCCCACACTTTCCAGCATCCCAGGTGGGTTCTGATCATGGTGAGACAAGCAGTGCTGCTGGTGGCACCATAGGAAAAGGCAGAAAAAGGAGAAAACACTATTGGAATTCTGAACCTTTCTCCTAGTAGATCACCACAGCTTCTCCAACCAGGAAACATTTTAGACACAGGCATCATTTATTACTAACATGTTTTGGCCTGAGCCTCTCTTATTTAATAATTGGCAGATTTACATAGAAGCATTTATATTTGCCTGAGGAGAGGCTTACAATGATGCCTAATGAGAGATATAGTAACAGAAACTCTGCAGATAACTTTTAATCAATAAGTGATCCTAGATCATGAAGATGGATAGTTCTGAGGTGACAGTGCATTAAAGAAGAGCAGAGCTGACAATCAGATATTATATTATTAGATGATACAATGATCAATGCAGGTCTCTTAGTACCTGCTTTTTCCTACTTAGAATCTTAACTATTACAATAATTATAAAGTCACTATTAATTTGATAGAAAAGTTCACTTAGCGAAAAGACAGATATCTTAAAACATACATTTCCCAACAAAGACAACCATGGATATCAACCATGAGCTCATTAATTATAAAGAAATTAACTTCTGCAACAGTTAAACTATCAATGAGACAGTTATAAGACATCATATCAGGTGAACTTACTACAGCTCATTTATATTAATACTTCTGTAGTTAAAGAGTTCAAACTTTTATTCTATTTTATTTTCTTTTTGGTCATATTGCAAAGCTTATGGGATCTTAGTTCCCTGACCAGGTATTGAACCCAGGCCCCCAGCAGTGAGAGCACAGAGTCCTAACCACTGGACTATCAGGGAATTCCCCAGGTGAACTTTACATGCCCTGAAAATTCAGAGAAAAGGTTCTATGACGATATAGAATGAAGACAATGAAATCCATATCAGAGGCATTATTTGACTATTATTTCAATCTTGCATTTGCAGAATATTTTATCTTAAAAAAAAAAAAGCATCAACAAAAGTCATAAAATCTGCAGAACCAAATTTAGTCTTAAGCTCCTTGCCATCAAAGACCTAGCCTTGTCTGTAAAAAAGCATGAAAGTTATACAAAACAGTCAGCTTCAATACATCACTATCAAAATATCAAATGAACAGACATTAACAAAACACACTGTAATGACCTTAATCTTGAAACCACTGCTTGCAGGATTTTAAAAAGTTGCTGTTCATTTTATCCTGCTGTGGAAATGTCACAAGTGTAACAGAAAGCTCCCAGGTATGAAGGAGAGGCTTACCTGATGCACCAATGGGGGAGGTAGCGGGGGTCATGTTGTGGACGTTGAGACCAAGGCTCTGGGAGGGGCCTGGAGCTGATGCTGCTATAGGAGGCCCGGGGGGGTTCTCTCGCTGGGGAGAAGTGAGAGGGGTGGTAGGCTGGGAGGTCTGTCCACCAGCAAGTCGTGCAAGGCGCCTCCGACGGATCTACAATGAGGGGGAAAGAGCATTCTGTGAAAAACAGCAGAAACACAACTCTGCATGAGAATAACAATATTTATGCTGTTAATAACCATACCTGAGCATTAAAAACTAAACATGTCTTGAGAAAAAAGGACCCATTCGAGACAAACGATAACTGTGTAGCAGTATTTTTATAAGTTACCAACTAACTTTTTAAAAATTGCATCTTAATAGCTTTACCACCTGTTACCAAACCTTCTTGAGTGACACTGTGAATTTACAATAAGCATACTACACTTTTCAACACATTAAAGCTCCTTGTTATGGTAATAAAATCCACAGACTTGGTAATTTTAAATAGGCAGAATTTAAAACAAATATACACTATGTCTGGCTGAGCCCCTTAGCTGTTCATCTGAAACTGCACAACATTGTTAATTGGCGATATCCCAATGCAAAATAAAAAGTCTAAAGTTTAAAAATAAAATACATATCCAATATAATTTCCTAAAACAATGAGAAAATGACAAAAGTTACATTAAGAGATTTTACTCTCATTTTTAAGAACAAAATGATTAGGTTTAACTTTCAACAGAAATATTATCTATAATTTCCTCCTTACAATTATATCCCAGAGTTATCAAGTGATTACAAATATGTACCACAGAAGCCCAGTGGATCACAGAAATGGTTTTCCCATATTTTGACTGTCATTAATTCATAACCAGGCAATGAACTCTGAGCACCTGCCCTCCCAGGCAGTGGGCATATGTAACAATTATGATAAAGTTTCTGACTCTAAGTGGGCATCAGAGAAGCAAACCAATTAGGCTGCTCACACTCTTTCCATTACGAGTAAGGAAGATAAAAAAAGTTAAATTACAGCAAACGTTAATAGCGATGGACACTGTCTGAATTAAGAATTTATCACTCATTCTAACATTGGTGGAAATCTGCACCTTCTGTTGTTCAGACAACAGGACTGACTCTTGGCCCCAAAGTTGAGAAGTCCCTCCTATAAATATATCTATCAAGGAATTTATACAAAATCCTGAAGTTGTTTGGTTTTTCAACTATCTCCTTAACTAGATTAAATTCCTTGATGGAAAGAATTACTAACAGGGCTTATTTATTTAAATAAAAACTGATGCTTCTAGTAATGTTCTAAATACTTTACACCTTACTGTTTAATCCTCATAATAACCCACTGAAGCAGGTACCTATGTACATTTTGTATATGAGCAAACTGAGGCACAGACAGGTTAGATGTCTTGCCTAACGGGTCAGTGGCAGAGCTGGAATTTGAACTCACTAAAATCTAGCTTTAGTGTCTGTGCTCCTATCACTAAAGCTGGTCATATCTAAGGGTCTCAAAAACACTTTCAGAGGGTCTGTGAAGCCAAACATTAAGACATTCGCCTTTTTCCACTCTCATTCTCCCATGTCAAGTAGAGTTTTCCAGAGGCTACATGACAAGTGATGCTGCAGCAAATTAAATAAAAAAGTTAACAAGATTCCAGCTGTCTTCCATTAAATTAGACATTTAAAAGAATTGTGAAAGTAAAAACAATGTCACTCACTGAATTTGTTCTGGAAAATGTAGTGATTTTTGTACAGTTCAGTTCAGTCGCTCAGTCGTCTCTGTCTCTCTGTGACCCCATGGACTGCAGCACGCCAGGCTTCCATGTTCTTCACCAACTCCTGGAGTTTACCTAAACTCATGTTCATCAGGTCAGTGATGCCATCCAACCATCTCATGCTTCTTCTCCACTGAGTCAGTTCTTTGCATCAGGTAGCCGAAGTATTGGAGCTTCAGCATGTCCTTCCAATGAATATTCAGGACTGATTTCCATTAGGATGGACTCGTTGGATCTCCTTGCTGTCCAAGGGACTCTCAAGAGTCTTCTCCAACACCACAGTTCAAAAGCATCAATTCTTCTGCACTCAGCTTTCTTTATGGTCCAACTCTCACATCCATACGTGACTACTGGAAAAACCATAGCTTTGACTAGGCAGGTCCTTTGTCGGCAAAGTAATGCCTCTGCTTTTTAATACACTGTCAAGGTTTGTCATAGCTTTTCTTCCAAGGAACATGTCTTTTAATTTCATGGCTGCGGTCACTGTCTGCAGTGATTTGGGAGCCCAAGAAAATAAAGTCTGTTTCCGCTATTTCTCCATCTATGTGCCATGAAGTGATCGGACTGGATACTATGATCTTAGTTTTTGTATGATGAGTTTTAAGCCAGCTTTTTCACTTTTCCTCTTTCACCTTCATCAACAGGCTCTTTAGTTCTTCGATTTCTGCCATAAGGACGGTGTCAACTGCAATATCTGAGGTTACTGATATTTCTCCCAGCAATCTTGATTTCTGCTTGTGCTTCATCCAGCCCAGCATTTTTCATGATATATTCTGCATATAAGTTAAATAAACAGGGTGACAATATACAGCCTTGACGTACTCCTTTCCCAATTTGGAACCAGTCTGTTGTTCCATGTCCAGTTTTAACTGTTGCTTCTTGACCTGCATACAGATTTCTCAGGAGGCAGGTAAGGTGGTCTGGTATTCCCACCTCCTGAAGAATTTTCCATAATCTGTTGTGAACCACACTGTCAAAGGCTTTGGTGTAGTCAATAAAGCAGAAGCAGATGCTTTTCTGGAACTCTCTTGCTTCTTTGATGATCCAATGGATGTTGGCAACTTGATCTCTGATTCCTCTGTGCCTTTTCTAAATCCAGCTTGAACATCTGGAAGTTCTCAGTTCATGCACTGTTAAAGATAAGCTTGGAGAATTTTGAGCATGTAATTTACAATGTAACTTTGATACCATGTAAAGTTAAGTGCAATTAAGTGGTAATCTGAACATTCTTTGGCATTGCCTTTCTTTGGTATTGGAATGAAAACCAACCTTTTCCAATCCTGAGGCCACTGCTGAGTTTTCCAAATTTGCTGGCATATTGAGTGCAGCACTTTCACAGCATCATCTTTTAGGACTTGAAACCGCTCAGTTGGAATTTCATCACCTCCAGTAGCTTTGTTTGTAGTGATGCCTCCTAAGGCCCACTTGACTTCACACTCCAGGATGTATGGGCTAGGTGAGTGATCACACCATCGTGGTTATCTGGGTCGTTAAGATCTCTTTTGTACAGTTCTTCTGTGTATTCTTGCCATTTTCTCTTAATATCTTCTGCTTCTATTAGGTCCATACCGTTTCTGTCCTTTATTGTGACCATCTTTGCATGAAATATTCCCTTGGTATCTCTAATTTTCTTGAAGAGATCTCTAGTCTTTCCCATTCTATTGTTTTCCTCTATTTCTTTACATTGATCACTGAGGAAGGCTTTCCTATCCCTCCTTGCCATTCTTTGGAACTCTACATTCAGAAGGATATATCTATCCTTTTCTCTTTCGCCTTTAGCTTCTCTTCTTTTCTCAGCTATTTGTAAGGCCTCCTCAGATGACCATTTTGCCTTTTTGCATTTGTTTTTTTGGGGGATGGTCTTGATCACTGCTTCCTATACAATGTCATGAACCTCTGTCCATAGTTCTTCAGGCACTCTAATCAGATCTAATCCCTTGAATCTACTGTCACTTCCACTGTATAATCATAAGTGATTTGATTTAGGCATACCTGAATGGTCTAGTGGTTTTCCCTACTTTCTTCAATTTAAGTCTGAATTTTGCAATAGGGAGTTCATGATCTGAGCCACATATGAATGAAACAACAATCACAGAAAACTAACCAAACTGATCACATGGACCACAGCCTTGTCTAATTCAATGAAACTATGAGTCATGCCATGCAGGGCCACCCAAAATGGACGGGTCATGGTGGAGAGCTCTGACAAAACGTGGTCCACTGGAGAAGGGAATGGAAAACCACTTCAGTATTCTTGCCTTGAGAATGCCAGAAACAGTATGAAAAGGCAAAAAGATATGACACTGAAAGATGAACTCCCCAGGTCAGTAGGTACCCAATATGCTACTGAAGAAGAGTGGAGAAATAACTCCCGAAAGAATGAAGAGACAGAGCCATAGCAAAAACAATGCCCAGTTGTGGATGTGACTGGTGATGGAAGTAAGGTCCGATGCTATAAAGAACAATATTGCATAGGAACCTGGAATGTTAGGTCCATGAATCAAGGTAAATTGGAAGTGGTCAAACAGGAGATGGCAAGAGTGAACATCGACATTTTAGGAATCAGTGAACGAAAATGGACTAGATTAGGTGAATTTAATTCAGATGACCATTATACCTACTTCTGTGGGTAAGAATCTCATAGAAGAAATGGAGTAACCCTCATAGTCAACAAGAGTCCAAAATGCAGTACTTGGGTGTAATCTCAAAAATGACAGAATGATGTCTGTTCATTTCCAAGGCAAACCATTCAATATCACCGTAATTCAAGTCTATGACCCAACCGCTAATGCCGAAAAAGCTCAAGTTGAATGGTTTTATGATGACCGACAAGATCTTCTAGAACTAACACCAAAAAAAGATGTCCTTTTCATCATAAGGGACTGGAATGTAAAAGTACGAAGTCAGTTATTTTCATTAAAAACATGTTATTGATATTAACACTGTTGTTGTTTGTTCAGTCACCAAGTCATGTCCAATTCTTTGTGACTCCATGGACTGCAGCATGCCAGGCTTCCTTGTCCTTCACCATCTCCTGGAGTTTGCTCAAATTCATGTCCATTGAGTTGGTAATGCTATCAAACCATCTCAATCTCTGCTGCCCTCTGCCTTCAGTCTTTCCCAGCATCAAGGTCTCTTCCAATGAGTCGGCTCTTCCGATCAGGTGGTCAAAGTACTGGAGCTTCAACTTCAGCATCAGTTATTCCAGTGAATATTCAGCGTTGATTTCCTTTAGGATCAACTGGTTTATCTCCCTGCTGTCCAAGGGACTCTCAATTCTTCTCCAGCCAACAATTTTAAAGCATCAGTTCTTCAGCACTCAGCCTTCTTTATGATCCAACTCTCAGATCAGTACATGACTACTGGAAAAAACCATAGCTTTGACCA